CACACACACACACACACACACACACAACCCATTACACCTCACCCCCATGAGTGTTACAGATGTAGGATGCAGGATGGTTCTGTGATGTTGAAAGTTCATCATGGCTAGTGTAGGATGGTTCTGTGATGTTGAAAGTTCATCATGGCTAGTGTAGGATGGTTCTGTGATGTTGAAAGTTCATCATGGCTAGTGTAGGATGGTTCTGTGATGTTGAAAGTTCATCATGGCTAGTGTAGGATGGTTCTGTGATGTTGAAAGTTCATCATGGCTAGTGTAGGATGGTTCTGTGATGTTGAAAGTTCACCTAGGCGAGTGTAGGATGGTTCTGTGATGTTGAAAGTTCATCATGGCTAGTGTAGGATGGTTCTGTGATGTTGAAAGGTCACCTAGGCGAGTGTAGGATGGTTCTTTGATGTTGAAAGTTCATCATGGCTAGAGTAGGATGGTTCTTTGATGTTGAAAGTTCATTATGGCTAGTGTAGGATGGTTCTGTGATATGGAAAGTTCATCAAGGCTAGCGTAGGATGGTTCTGTGATGCTGAAAGTTCATCAAGGCGAGTGTAGGATGGTTCTGTGAAGTTGAAAGATCATCAAGCATGTATATACACAATCACGGTTTATTGAGCAGCAGTTGTAACAAGTACATGACAATGTCAGTTAAAGAATAGGAATTGCGCAATCAGCATCCGGTGAGTTATCACTGCTGGGGTCAAGAGTTCTACCCACTCGTGTCAAACTAGGCATTATTGACCACTCCAATCAGTGAACTGTTGTTGGTTCAATTATTTTATTGCCTTTGAACTTCCTTAATGCCAGTCAACAGAATAAACATATAAGCTGTGTGTTGTTTTTAGGAAAACACTGTTTATTGTTATGCCGGATGTGCTTAAATCAGTGCTAATAAGCATGTACTATTTGCTGTTTGATTGGATTAAGGTAAGGATGTGTATCATTCCACTCGGGATGGGGTGGGGGGCTGGAGTCACATTGATTTTAAATCACATTTTTGGCGAGGGGTCAGCAATCATATTAATTTGGAGACGCATTTATTTCAACATTTACAGTATTTAGTTCCTCAGAGTTTATGGATTAGCGAACCCAAAATTTTGCAAAACTTAAATATTTAGATGTTTTATGAAAGCTAACATGATATGAACATTCTTTATAAAGTAATACTTTGCCTCCTGCATCTTGGCATGTCTACCATGAAATGAAAATATTCAGACAGTCTTGCTTCAAAATGAAAACATGTTTTTTCTCAGGTGTCAGAATTTATGTTTTTGACGCTGTTGTTTTCTTAATCAGGAGGAGCCCCAGAGAGCTAAGACAATCTGTCACTCTACTCAGACTGTTAGTTTCATTTCCTCTTCTCTGAGATTCTGGGAAATATACCACGTGTAATGATATTTATCAATATTACAAAAATCCCTTGTGTCCAATGATAAATGGCTCTTTGCATTCGCTGTGAAAATCCATAGTATGATAAATGGGTGCTTGATAAATACACATCTGTATTATAACTTGACAAATCGAAACCTTTATAAAATCAATAGGGTCATGAACATTAGGACCCAATGTTAATTATTTTTTATTTATAGTACTGAAAGGATAAAACGAGTGAGGCTGTATTCATGTTTGATTTTGTCAATACAGAAAATGACATCCTGTTTGTTAAATGTCCTTTAGATGCAGCTCAAAGAGCCGGATAACACGGTGACATAGTGCATTTTCCTGTAAATTCAAAACGCATATCTAATAGTTTCATGGAATGGGATCTTGTGGTGATAAATAAACAGTACCGTATACCCTCTTGAAAATCCTTGCTGTTTCCTGTTTTGTAGCTATGGGGATTCTGGGATAGAATAGCTCGCCAGGAACATGACGAAAGAGGCGACTAAATACATTGGATTGATTTGGTTGATAACGTGTCATCGTACCCCGGACCATGTGCATCGTTGCTCATGATATCAATCACTGGATTTGCCTCAACAGAAGCAAATGATAAGGAACAAATAGTTCTTTCCTACTGGGAAAATAAATTTTCTTCAATTGATGCATGAAAATATGTGAATGCGTTAATTCATATATTGGAGGAAATATGGTAACTTCATATGCCTTTATGATTACAACACACACTGAAAGGTTACATTGTAATCAGTTTATTTCCTTTTTCAAATAATTTTTGATTGAAACAGAAGTTAGCATACAGATGCATGTATGGGGTTTTCCTTAATATAACCCTCACAACTCTTCAGCTTCCTCCTGTACATATTCTAATAGACCCGTGAAGATTCCGGGGTAGAATAGGTCTTCAGCAACCCATGCTTGCCGTAAAAGGCGACTATGCTTCTTGTAAAAGGCGACCAACGGGATCGGGTGGTCAGGTTTGCTGACTTGGTTGATACATGTCATTGATCCTAATTGCGTGGATCGATGCTCATGATGTCAATCACTGGATTGTCTGGTCCAGACTCGATTATTTTACAGACTGCCGTCATATAGCTGGAATATTGCTGAGTGCGGCGTTAAACAACAAACAAACAAACAAACGAAAAACATATTCCAATATGTCGTTTGTATAATTGTATTTGTAATCTTAGGATTGTGACTAGTCTGTCAAAGAGACCCTGAATCAAATATAATCAATACTGCCCATCCAAATAATATTTGGCAAGTCTAGTTTACTACAATGAGGAAAATGAAGAAAGTCTCTATGCTTCCTTTTTTTGTTTTCTTGAGAAATTTTAATGACTGTTTTTTTTCTGTCAATACATTCATTTCAGAGACTAGACGTTTGTCCAGATTGTGACAAGACCAATCGATAAACTTGGCGAATAATTAAGCCAGGAGACATGAGGACTAATGGATTATTTTGTAAATCTTGAGCCTTGACTTGCAACATTTTTCACCAGGGACAGATAATGTGTATTTCCAATTTGCAAGTAGGTTATTCTACATATATTATCTTTAGTCTGTTTTATGAGGTGGTGAGGTGAAATGTGGTTTAATGCTGCTCACAAGATTATTGCACTTACATAATGACTGTATGCATGTCGCTGCTTGAACTAGACCAGGGAGATATGCCACAGTTTAACATGGAAACTCTACTAAGACTCCGAGCTGACCAGTCCTTATTTTATCCCCTTCAAGTACTAGACAGGGTGTATGCTAGGTGTACAGTACTAGACCAGGTAGATGTGCCACAGTTTAACATGGAAACTCTACTAAGACTCCAAGCTGACCAGTCCTTATTTTATCCCCTCAATGCCAAGAGCCAGGGAGGGTAACAAGAAGTACGATTTTTTAACATCTTTCGGTATGCATGGTCAGAGTGTGTTGAGACACTGGGAAGATGCTCTAGCCACAATACCATGAAGGCAGTCCTTTTCTATAAGAAAATGTAGGAAAATGTATGTTTCCTGATTAATCAGCTCAGTTAGTCTATTGTTGGAACAATGACATTTTGAACAATTGCGATGAAACGACACTATGTTTCATTGGGCCACTGTGCCAACAATGAAACCAATTGAACAATTGACATGAAGTATAGGCACTGAGCATGAACGAAGCAAAACAAATATACTACTCCATGAGAAAGGAACATGATTTCATCGCTGATGGGAAATATAGTGATGTAGTTATGGATAGAATGCTATTTCAGTTGGAGGGTTGGAAAGGTTTATATCCCATGTTCAGCCTGTTTGATCCGAGGCACAATACCTATATATGCTTGAGGGTTGGACCAGAGCCACATAGGATGGCCTTCCACATTAAGCTGACACACCTTATAAACCTATTGCCACTGATTGTATTGTAGGTATATTCCTATCTCATAATAACCTGGGGCAGTCGGGTAGCCTAGTGGTTAAAGCATTCGCTCGTCACACCGAAGACCCGGGTTCGATTCCCGACATGGGTACAATGTGTGAAGCCCATTTCTGGTGTCCCCCGCCGAGATATTACTGGAATATTGCTAAAAGTGGTGTTAAACCATACTCACTCACTCACTCATAATAACCTCTTGGGAGGTTTTACTTTTTCGTAGTAAGACCTGTCATGAGTTGAGTTGTTGATGAAATTTGTACTTGTTTCAAACTACCAATGTTCCAAAATTGAAGACAAGAAATGAAAGTTTTCATTATGGATGATGAGAATCAAACCTGCAACCTCAAATGTCGTGTTTAGTTTTGTAACCCACTGTTTTCCCACTGAGCCACCGGGCAGGTGATGAGAATCTGTTCAATTTACTTGTCATGACTTCAGTTTGTGCTGCATGCTGCATGTGGTCTTCCTCTCGAATGCTTTGATCAAATTCCCTTATAGCGCGACACATTGTTTCACTTAAAGGTATCCAAATGTTTTCTTATTTTTTTCTGGTATTTCTTCCATTTAGATGGTTTCCTAAGTTGGATAAAACACTCCTCCTTGGTTTAAGTTGTCATCGCAACATTCTTGAAAGTTGACTGAGTGAACGAGATATTTCTCGTTTCCTGAAATTCTCATGGAGCAACTACTTTCGCCAACAGTCGTAAACAGGAACAGGCTTTACAGTCATCTCGTTACAAATTTAACAGGGCAAATGTAAATTATGATTTTTTTGTTTAAATTCAACTCTTGACAGTTTATATGCCAGAGAAAACACTATCCCTCAGTTTTGGTTGAAAACGTAAACACTCATGAGTCAGGAAACCCCTCTCCCTTGTGTTTACATTTTCAATCAAAACCTCGGAGGCGTGTTTCCTCCTATACATACAATACCTGAATTACTATTCAAAATAGCCTTACACCAACTCACTCCCTAAAATTGACACAGGGTGCAAGTGACCTGCACATTTTATTGTGCTGACGGACCAAGGATCATAATCAGGGTATGTATAGGATTCAAACCCAGAGCCAGCAGATCCTGTTGGTACCTGATACTACTGTGCCACCTGTGCCCATGTTGATATATACTGGCATGCTATGTGAAACTTTCATCTCATCCCAGACATCTGTTTCAGCACCTTCTTTGCCTTCTGCTGCAAGCGCTGGCTTGTATTGCCCTCAACCCCCTCAACCATCAAGCCCTCAATGATGCTGAAGTTGCAGACATGTTGATGCAGCTGTTGCTTCCATCAGATGAATGGTACTACACCAACCACAGCACAAAGTATGCCAAGTTTGTTAAGTACCATGCAGCCCGGATCCTGGTGTACATGGGACTGCTCCACAAGCTGGGAGGAAGGGTCGACCTCTTTGATAGGCGGCGTAAGTTTCGTTGCAGATCCCAAACCCTTCTGTTCTAAGATGCATGCATCCAAAACTCTTGTGATCTATGATATATGCAGACCCCAAACACTGTGACATAAGATGTATTCAGATCCCAAACACTGTGATATAAGATGTATGCAGATCCCAAACTCTTGTGATCTAAGATATATGCAGACCCCAAGCACTATGATCTAAGATATCTGCAGATCCCAAACTCTTGTGATCTAAGACATATGCAGATCCCAAACACTATGATCTAAGATATCTGCAGCTCCCAAACTCTTGCAATCTAAGATATATTCAGATCCCAAACACTGTGGTATAATATGTATGCAGATCCCAAACACTGTGACATAAGATGTATTCAGATCCCAAACACTGTGATAAAAGATGTATGCAGATCCCAAACACTGTGATCTAAGACATATGCAGATCCCAAACACTGTGATCTAAGATATCTGCAGATCCCAAACTCTTGTCATCTAAGATATATGCAGATCCCAAACTCTTGCGATCTAAGATGTATTCAGATCCCAAACACTATGATATAAGATGTATGCAGATCCCAAACACTGTGATAAAAGATGTATGCAGATCCCAAACACTGTGATATAAGATGTATGTAGATCCCAAACACTGTGATATAAGATGTATTCAGATCCCAAACACTGTGATATAAGATGTATTCAGATCCCAAACACTGTGACATAAGATGTATTCAGATCCCAAACACTGTGATATAAGATGTATGCAGATCCCAAACACTGTGATATAAGATGTATTCAGATCCCAAAAACTATGATCTAAGACATATGCAGATCCCAAACACTATGATCTAAGATATCTGCAGATCCCAAACTCTTGTGATCTAAGATATATGCAGATCCCAAACTCTTGCGTTCTAAGATGTATTCAGATCCCAAACACTGTGACATAAGATGTATTCAGATCCCAAACACTATGACATAAGATATCTGCAGATCCCAAACTCTTGTGATCTAAGATATATGCAGATCCCAAACTCTTGCAATCTAAGATGTATTCAGATCCCAAACACTATGATCTAAGATGTATGCAGATCCCAAGCACTATGATCTAAGATGTATGCAGATCCCAAGCACTATGATCTAAGGTATCTGCAGATCCCAAACTCTTGCAATCTAAGATGTATTCAGATCCCAAACACTGTGATATAAGATGTATGCAAATCCCAAACTCTTTTGTTCTAAGATATTAGGGATCATAATTATTTAGGGGGATATGTTTTTGTAGTGAAAACTAACCACACCTTTCAAAAAATATCCCCAAAAATATTCTTGATCCCTAATTTTTTTAGTTCAGTATATGACTGGGTGGCAGCCAGGATACTACAGAGCCGTGTGATTATGAACATTCTGGATTTGATGGACGTATGTCAGATATAATCAGAAAGTTTCAAACACATAGAAACAGATGTTTGTAATAACATCAAATATATAATGCATGATGCGATAGGCAAATTAACAATTGGATTTCATGGCGTAATTGTCCATTGCATCTACTTAAATTGCTAGAAAATAAATATACCATATTCGACGTAATAGGCGCCCGCTCTAATAAGCGCCCAAGGCGATATTTGCTAATATATTGGTTAGTGAACAATCCCAATTAGCACCCCTTCGGATTGATCAATGTACAGAAGACTTATTTATTCGTGTATAATACACACTCGTGTGTTATATGCACTCCTAATTATGGGCAATTAAATTCTGGAAAAATATATCTGTCATGTATACTACGCACAGACTTTTCTTTTGTATCATTCAGGCTGTCAGCATAAACCATGAAATTTACGATCTTTCAACTCTTTTTTTTACCACCAAACTTTTATTCTAATAAGAGCCCCCTATTTCTAATTTTGAGAGCGCCCTGGGCGCTTATTATGTCGAATACGGTACATATGATGCTTAGGAAGTTTTTATTAGATAATGTAATGAATACAGTTAACTTCCAACAGCTGGCACAGCAGGGATTCATGTCTGTATGTAATTGTTTTTGATGTCACTATCAGCACATAATCAGGCTTTTGTTTCATTTGAATACAATCCACACTTAAAGTAAGTTATATATCCAGCTCAATGCATTAATCAATAATATCCAGAAATGCTGCCGATACTGTCACATCTGCAGCCACACACTTCAACATGAGCAGGATCATTACACATTGTTATATAAGCATTGTTACTAAGCGCCAAGGGACTAACCGTTTTATGGTACTGGAGTTCAAAATGTCAATGCCAGAGAAAATACAGTCTCAATTATCTGCCAAAACAGATTCCATTGGGTGTAAAAAGGCAAAATAGTGAGGAAAATGTTGGATAAAGTGTGTCAAAGTCTGTTTTTTCAACAATGTTTTTCATCTTGCAGCCTTTGTTGAACTGACGACCAACTCTTTGCTGCAAGTGCATTCCCCAGAAGACAGCTTCATTGAGCTCATGGCCATGGGCCGTATCATGATGTGGAGCCCCAACCATCACCTCCAGGCAGCATCGCTGGAGGGGCTCGTGTCAGAGGTCATACAGGTAAGGTCAAGGTCATGGGAGATGCGTATAATTGAAGTCAATGTATTTTTGTTCGCTGTTTCCTGAAAAAAACAGGTCATCCACAAAATGTTCACTACATTCAAGGGAGGTGGGGAAAGTTCAAGTACGTGTGTCAGAGGTAATACAAGTAGGGTCAAGGTAGTGGGAGATACATATAATTGAAGTAAATGTAATTCTCTTGTTTACATTTTGCTGAAAACGCAAGAATGGTATGCATTAATATAGTAACTAAAAGGGGGATGTGAGCACCAGTATATGACCTACACACAGGGGAGTGTGAGCAACAGTATATGACCTACACACAGGGAGTGTGAGCACCAGTATATGACCTACATACAGGGAGTGTGAGCACCAGTATATCACCTACACAGGGGAGTGTGAGCACCAGTATATGACCTACACACAGGGAGTGTGAGCACCAGTATATGACCTACACACAGGGGAGTGTGAACACCAGTATATGACCTACACACAGGGGAGTGTGAGCACCAGTATATGACCTACACACAGGGGAGTGTGAGCACCAGTATATGACCTACACACAGGGGAGTGTGAGCACCAGTATATGACCTACACACAGGGGAGTGTGAGCACCAGTATAGGACCTACACAGAGGGGAGTGTGAGCACCAGTATAGGACCTACACACAGGGGAGTGTGAGCATCAGTATAGTACCTACACGCGGGAGTGTGAGCACCAGTATAGGACCAACACACAGGGAGTGTGAGCATCAGTATAGTACCTACAAACAGGGGGTGTGAGCACCAGTATAGGACCTACACACAGGGGATGTGAGCACTAGTATATGACCTACACACAGGGGAGTGTGAGCACCAGTATAGGACCTACACACAGGGGAGTGTGAGCACCAGTATAGGACCTACACAGGAGAGCGTGAGCACCAGTATAGGACCTACACACAGGGGAATGTGAGCATCAGTATAGTACCTACACAGGGGAGTGTGAGCACCAGTATAGGACCTACACACAGGGGAGTGTGAACCTCAGTATTGTACATACACAGGGGAGTTTGAGCACCAGTATAGGACCTACGCACAGGGGGTGTGAGCACCAGTATAGTACCTACACAGGGGTGTGTGAGCACCAGTATAGTACCTACACAGGGGAGTGTGAGCACCAGTATAGGACCTACACACAGGGGAGTGTGAGCACCAGTATAGTACCTACAAACAGGGGGTGTGAGCACCAGTATAGGACCTACACACAGGGGATGTGAGCACTAGTATAGTACATACACAGGGGAGTGTGAGCACCAATATAGTACCTACACAGGGAGTGTGAGCACCAGTATAGTACCTACACAGGGAGTGTGAGCACCAGTATAGTACCTACACAGGGTAGTGTGAGCACCAGTATAGGACCTACACACAGGGGGTGTGAGCACCAGTATAGGACCTACACACAGGGTGTGTGAGCACTAGTATAGGACCTACACACAGGGGATGTGAGCACTAGTATATGACCTACACACAGGGAGTGTGAGCACCAGTATAGGACCTACACACAGGGAGTGTGAGCACCAGTATAGTACATACACAGGGGAGAATGAGCACCAATATAGGACCTACACAGGGGAGTGTGAGCACCAGTATAGGACCTACACAGGGGAGTGTGAGCACCAGTATAGTACATACACAGGGGAGTGTGAGCACCAATATAGGACCTACACAGGGGAGTGTGAGCACCAGTATAGGACCTACACACAGGGGATGTGAGCACTAGTATATGACCTACACACAGGGAGTGTGAGCACCAGTGTAGGACCTACACAGGGGAGTGTGAGCACCAGTATAGTACATACACAGGGGAGAATGAGCACCAGTATAGGACCTACACACAGGGGGTGTGAGCACCAGTATAGGACCTACACACAGGGTGTGTGAGCACTAGTATAGGACCTACACACAGGGGTTGTGAGCACAAGTATAGGAGGTATACACAAAGGGGTGTGAGCACAAGTATAGGACCTACACACAGGGGGTGTGAGCACCAGTATAGTACCTACACACAGGGGGTGTGAGCACCAGTATAGTACCTACACACAGGGGGTGTGAGCACCAGTATAGTACCTACACACAGGGGGTGTGAGCACCAGTATAGGACCTACACACAGGGGTGTGTGAGCACTAGTATAGGACCTACACACAAGGGTGTGAGCACAAGTATAGGACCTACACACAAAGGGGTTGTAAGCACCAGTATATGACCTACACACAGGGGGTGTGAGCACAAGTATAGGACCTACACACAAAGGGGTTGTAAGCACCAGTATATGACCTACACACAGGGGGTGTGAGCACTAGTATATGACCTACACACACAGGGCTTGAGCACCAGTATAGGACCTACACACAGGGGGTGTGAGCACTAGTATAGGACCTACACACAAAGGGGTTTGAGTACAAGTATAGGACCTACACACAAAGGGGTTGTAAGCACCAGTATATGACCTACACACAGGTGGTGTGAGCACTAGTATAGGACCTACACACACTAGGTGTGAGCACAAGTATAGGACCTACACACAGGGGGTGTGAGCACTAGTATAGGACCTACACACAAAGGGGTTTGAGTACCAGTATAGGACCTTCACACAAGGGGTTATGAGCACTAGTATAGGACCTGCACACAGGGGGTGTGAGCACCAGTATAGGACCTTCACACAAGGGGTTGTGAGCACCAGTATAGGACCTTCACACAGTGTTGTGAGCACCAGTATAGGACCTTCACACAAGGGGTTGTGAGCACTAGTATAGGACCTTCACACAAGGGGTTGTGAGCACCAGTATATGACCTTCACACAAGGGGTTGTGAGCACCAGTATAGGACCTTCACACAGTGTTGTGAGCACAAGTATATGACCTTCACACAAGGGGTTGTGAGCACTAGTATAGGACCTTCACACAAGGGGTTGTGAGCACCAGTATAGGACCTGCACACAGGGGGTGTGAGCACCAGTATAGGACCTGCACACAGGGGGTGTGAGCACTAGTGTAGGACCTTCACACAAGGGGTTGTGAGCACAAGTATAGGACCTTCACACAGTGTTGTGAGCACAGGTATAGGACCTACACACAGGGAGTGTGAGCACTAGTATAGGACCTACACACAAAGGGGTTTGAGTACAAGTATAGGACCTACACACAAGGGGTTGTGAGTACAAGTATAGGACCTACACACAGGGGGTGTGAGCACCCTTATAGGACCTACACACAGGGTGTGAGCACCAGTATAGGACCTACACACAGGGTGTGAGCACCAGTATAGGACCTACACACAGTGATATTGCGCTCACAACAGCTGTTCACCAGTTGACTTTAAACACAAGACCAGAATGTCCTAGTTAGGAGGTTAACAGGCTGACCCAACTTCTCCAACAACATGCTGGTACGAACTTGTGTCAGTATCATTGTCATTAATTGGAATGGTTACACAGGGTGAAAAAATAATAAATGTACTACAAATTCTCTTTGAAGAAGGAGATTTGCTGTGTGTCTCATCATTTAGAAAGTCAGAGAAAAAGATTACCGTATTCAACGTAATAAGCGCCCCGCTCTAATAAGCGCCCACGGTGATATTTGCTTATATATTGGCTAGTGAACAATCTCAATTAGCACCCCTTCCGATTGATCAATGTACACAAGACTTATTTATTCGCATATAATATACACTTGTGTGTCATATGCACCCTTAATTATGGGCAATTAAATTCTGGAAAAATATATCTGTCGTATATAAACATTTCAGGCTGTCAGCATAAACCACGAAATTTATCTTTCAACTCTGTTTTTTTCACCGAAATAATATTCTAATAAGAGCCCCCTATTTCTAATTTTGAGAGCGCCCTGGGCGCTTATTACGTCGAATACAGTATTTGTTTCATATTTTTACATTGTCAAGATGCTTAAGATATCAGAGTTACACTGAGAAGTGAACTCTATTGTAGTCCTGTCTTCTGTAAGCTCTACGCGCCTTCAGACTTTAATGCATTTACCCTGACAACTTATAAGCTCTCACAAGAGACTGCTGGGATCCCCGCAAGGAGTCTGTACAGTAATCAACATTATTTGTTAAATCCTGAGAAAAAATCAAAACAGGAAGATAATAAAGTTTTAAAGTTTGCGCAGAAGCTCCTTTGTCGGGATTATGTCCTGTATTGCTCTTTGTACACAGGAAGTAGTTGGGGATCGGCTACTTTTGTAAAAGTTTCTATGTAAAAAGAATCAATGAATGATGTGTTGTTTTAGTGTTAAGCGACGTAGTAGTTGCCAATTAGCTTGTTTTGGAGAGGGCTCAAATAATTTAGTGGAAATGAAAAAGTGTTGTTAATTCTTGGAGCCTTTTGTTCTTACTCGATTCTGTAGATACTTTACATCAACTTTTTTGTGTAGAATGTCAACTGAAAGTTTTAATTAGTTTGTTTGGAGTCTGCGAGACTATCATGTGAGTGGTTAGTGCTGAAATGTAAAATCCAATGGAGAGACAGAAGCTGGCACAGGAAGATGGTGAGTGAGTGAGTGACAGGTGGGTTTATGCCGCTTGTAACAGTATTCCAGTTATAGCACGGCATGTCAGCTTAGCATGGGAGGAAAGACTGAAGTAATGCAGGCCTTATAGACATTTACCACTTCGGTGAAACCCACAGGCACGGGTATGGTGCTGACAAACCTAGAAACACAATTGGGGAGAAAGAGGAGAAAGGAATTAGAACATTGGGTGTAAATGAAAAATCTTGGTTTTATGTGAAAGGAAATAATAATAATAATAATAATAATAATGATAATAACAACAGCAATAATAATAATAACAACAACAATAATAATGATAATAATAACAACAACAGCAATAATAACAACAATAATAATAATAATAACAACAACAACAATAATAATAATAACAACAATAACAATAACAACAATAATAATAACAACAACAGCAATAATAACAACAACAACAACAACAATAATAATAATAATAATAATAATAATAATAACAACAACAACAGCAATAATAATTTATTTCAAAACAACATGAGACAAGTACACACAACCCACATTTAAGGTCCATACACTAGGTCTCACTACCGTTTATAACAGGGTAGGGTAGAACAAAGCAGATCCTTACACCTACATACAGTGTCACATTACAGGTGGTTGCTGCAACAAGTACAGTTAGATGGAACACATGCCAATTGTTGATCACATTCTAATAATTACAATTTATTTATAGTTTATTTAAATTCTTTGTATTTATTAAAAGAGCTGGGCAATTTTTAGTATTCTTTTCATTATCCGAAAACGATACCACTGTCAGTGTATGCAGGTAACCTGTACATTTCAACGCAGTGTCCTCCCCACTCGATGCCACGTCTCCTGTGCGGAATTCTGCTGAATCAGTCTGAAACTAATGGCCCAGTTTCTTCAGTCTCGTACTGGTGCAGTCCTAATGTGAGACACATGTCTCGTTCTAGTGTACTCAATCCTTTTTACCCAGACAAAAAGTAGTTAATTAGAAGCATGGCTTCCGGGAATGTGGGATAAAGCAGCTTGATAGGCCTGCAAAACACAGAAGATGAAGAAAATGTCAGATCTGAATCCTCACCTGACTTCTTCACACTGAAATTCCGTTCTGGAAGCTGAGATGGACATGACAGTATTGTTGTTGTGGATAATGAATTTGTGCTATCATTTTTTGTATTTCTTATTTAGTGCAGCACACTAGAATATCCTTTGAAATGAAAGATGCCATTTTCTCAAGACATTTGTGTTGGACGTTGACCTTTTACATTTCATTTATGTTTAAAGGATATATTTTTTTTAAATGTAACAACTGATTAAAAATGTTTTGATATCGATTATACGCACATAAGTTTAATTATTTCAATTCGCCCCGGTTATGTTTCTAGGTTTGTCAGCACCATACCCGTGCTCGTGGGTTTCACTGAAATGGTAAACATCTAAGACCTACATCACTTCGGGCTTCCTCCCACATTAAGCTGACACCCGTGATATGACTGCTCACACCCCTGGAATACTGTTAAAAGCAGCATTAAACACAACTCACTCACTATTTTTTTCAAACCCCTACTTTTGAGTATTATTATTTTAACTTTGATCTCATAAGATCTCATAAGGTATTTGATTTTAGGAACAGGTGAGGTGAGGTGAAATGGGGTTTAACGTCACGTCCAAGATTATTGCACTTATATAGCGACGTGCATGTACGTGTGTGTGTTTGTGTGGCTGCTTGTACTATTCCGGACTGATGCCGATTTATAGTGCTAGCTCACTGAGATACCATGCCGCAGTTAAACATGAATACCCCACTCAGACACAGTAAACTGACTCCGAGCCGACCAGTCCTTGTTTAGCCCTTTAATGCCGAGCGCCAGACAGGGTAACAACAAGTACCATCTTTTAACGTCTTTTGGTATGACGTGGCCGGGGATAGAACCCCGGACCTTCTGCACTCTGGGCGGACGCTCTACCACTAGACACGGAGGCGGTCTTTAGGAACAGAGAAATCTTAAATAACAATTGTCAAAACAAAATTATATCCTGAAGTTTACCAGGGTTATTATACAGTTTTGTGAGGACTACTATTGCTACATGATACAGGCCTTTATCTCACGCTAAGATGGAAGCAATAAATTTTGGATTACTTGTTGCTGACGATAACCCACTAAAAAGGTGCCTGCCCATATTAAAATATAACAACATCCCTTTTTGGTATCAAAGACAAGAAAGAACCTTGTGTTGTGCTCTCTGCTCAACAGTGCCTCCTTATCATTTTGTTTTGTTTGTTTGTTGTTTAAAGACGCTCTCAGCAATATTCCAGCTATACGGCTGTCTGTAAATAATCAAGTCTAGACCAGACAATCCAGTTGTTGATATCATGAGCATTGATCTATGAAATTGTGAGTCTGACCACCCAATCCCAATACTCTTACAGCAAGTATAGGTTGCTGAAGATCAATTCTATCGTGGATCTTCACGGGGCTTTTGTTATGAAAGGGATTAATAAGATGAAATACCATGCATGTTGTTGGTTTCAAAGGAAAAGGGAAGAAATCATTTCAGGAAAATGTGAAGCAAGCTTGGTATTATTTTATTACATTCTAATATTTGTCTCTTAATGAAATTACATTTGGCTCACAGAAAAATGACATTAAGGGCATAGAACTGGGGAATACTACAGTGTTTGAGGCCAGTACCCAGACACATTATGAGCAGCCATCCCCAGGTATTTGCAACGGTCTTATATGTAGTTTGATAATAATGACAATTATTGACTCTCTTTCTCCATTACAGGAGGCCATGGGTGAGGAGCGTGACTGCGGCCAAGGGGGACAACTCTCCAGCTCCCTGCCCAGTGTGTACTCGCTTTCCGAGAGGGAGTCAGTCAGCTCTCACCAGATCTTCTCCCCACTAGCATCCCCCTCCTGTTCCATGGAGTTTCTGCAGGACATGTACCACAAGCCGTTCAGGGACTATCTGCTAGCAGCCCTCCCAGTCCTGGTCCACCCCATCATCGTCCTCCGACTGTTAGCTCACAAACTTTTCGGGAACATGATCCGACGTAAGACACTGTACAGTGACACCAAACTCAAACCGCCAAAGGTGGACAAGGTTGATATATGTCCACCTCGAAAACGAGACGAAGAGGCCTCTGAGGAATGTGATTCCTTGTCCAAACGGAGGAAAGCTAACCTCCATGTTGTGATAACAGACCCACCGGAGGAACCCGAGAGTGCTCCTCCAGTTGTCAAAGTCTCAAATATAACACAAGACAAAGATCAAACTAATAAGGGAACCAATAACCATGTGCCAAGTAAAAACGGGACAACCAAACTTGCCCTACGTGCAATAGGAGAGAGTTTGGTGACACCCCTTGATCTCAACATAGTGCCCGCCCCCCAGAACCCGGAGCCGAGTACGGTCGTGGAGCTCCCTGATTCTGGTGGGGATCCAAAGACCTCCCGAAAACTCTTCCGTTGGCCCAGTAAGCGGGTGTTGTCCAAACCTCAGGCCAATGTGTCCCTGCCTCGTAGGGACAGTGTCTCCAGTGACCTCAGTCAGATGAGTCAGAAGGATTCCAACAGCTCTTCCGCACCAGATATGGATCTTGTCGCTCTCCAGCGAGAACTCACCAACCTGCCAACGTTTGTCATGGACACGCCACCAGTGGATGTATCCCCAGTGTTTTCTAGATCCAGCTCAGTGCCTGAAAATCTTGCACACCGAACAAGATCGTCTCCATTAAATGGCTCGGCAGGATACCTGGCTTCAGTGAGTGCTCTGGATGGGGACGAGGGTCAGAGTTTGGTGAAATCCGGGTTAATGACCCCCGGCCCTTGCTCCACGGAACACATCTACGATACGGGGTCACTTGTCACCATCATGACAACCGACATGGATAGTCATGCCAATGTTACATTCTGTGGTCCTGAGCAGGACAACGATTCAATCACGGATATACCAAATATTAAAGTTCATTTTGAAACCCCTTCCTCTCCACAGCCTTCCTCCGCCAGCCAAAGCCCCCAACACTTCGAATACCCCTCCCCCCCTCACTCCTCAGGGTTCGCTAATCATCTCTCCCCTCACCTGGAACAAACAGGCCACACTGCTCAGCACTATCTCTTCCCCGCCCCCTCCGGCCAGAGTTCCAGCCCGAGCCCCGCCCCGTCAGAGCGCACCCACTCCTCTGCGGGGACGGTCAAGTCGGTCTCTCCCATCTCCACCACCCCCATCTGTGAGATACCCCTGAACCACAGGGGTATACTGAAGGTGATTGAGACATGGATAGAAATATGTCATTCCGACCTGGATGGTAGCTCCATGTTGGCGCTGGAGACTCGGGAGTTCCTCAAGAAGTTGTCGGTGCTGGGGTACGAGTACAAGGCATGGTGCCAGCTGATGGGGACGAAGCTGCAACTGGAGGTGAGACAGTGCATATTTGTGTGTCACTACTCAAAAGAAGTTAAGGATCACCTGATTTGTATATTTAAGAAATAAACGACAAGTGGGAGTTGTTTATCGGACAGTGAAACACTGCAGGGAGAATAAACCATGAGGGGTGCAGCCCTGAGTGGTTTATTCTGCCTGTAGTGTTTTGTTGTATGATAAACAACCACTTGGCATTTATTTTTTAAATGAGATATCAACATTATTTACAGCCTCTTTAAGGATGAAGATAAAATGTACAAGCTTTAACAATATTTACCCGTATTTTAAATATTGATGACTCCCTCAATAGAATCTGACATCAGCAATGTTGGACAAGTCCATTTTATGCACAGGTGGATATTTCCTGCATATTATCATCATCCTCAAGTCGATTACCGGTCCCTTTTCTCCCAATGACAATTGTCATATCTCTCCTTCTTTTGGATACGATAGTTCAGCCATCGTGTTTATCCGTGTTGCCCAGCAACATCTATGGGGAAAAAGTCACTAGACACGCCCCTCTCAAAAATAATGTCGTCCAATATATGATGTCATAAAGTTGCGAGCGCATGTTCGAATTTCCAGAAATGACATAATACTATGTTTTATCGTGAAATAACACACTTCATTCTTCGTTGTTCTTTGCGACTGCGTAGCTATCTTATATCTTACTATATTTAATCTGTCATGCCAGATTAACTAGCAAACAATGCCAATGTATTTTATTTTTTATATGCTACTCAAAAAAGTTAAGGATCCCTTGATTTGTATATATTACTTTAGTTAATCTGTCTTGTCAGATTAGCTATAGAAATATATACAAATCAGGTGATCCTTTAATTGTTTAGAGAAGTATATGAAACCCCTTCCTCTCCCCACCAGACTTGATTTGTTTATGTTACTATAGTTACTCTGCCCAAGGAGGGCAGTGTGACTATTCCAAGGAGGGCAGAATGACAGTGTATGAAATTCCATGAATCTGTCAAATGTCTTCATTTAACATGGAGTTGGAGTGATTCAAATAGAATCATAATAACAACAGAATTTATTTATTGTGTTGCACATACTGTTTTCAATATTTATATTTTATGGTCATATGCCTAGACAAAAACCTGCTTGTCCGTGGGGCAGGTGCACTCGAAACATACCAGTCCATAATAAGAATTGCCTGTCCTGGGCCTACTTGCACAAAGCGATCTCAGCGCTAAGATGATCGTAACTCCCACAGTTTAACATAGGCTTACAATAGTCATAGCGCTAAGATCGCTTTGTGCAAGTAGGCCCTGGGCAATTGGGCAGGCATGATATTTGAACTTTTAGTATAACACATCCAATTTCACTGAACATACTGAAAATATATATTGTCTGTACTAAAAAATCATTTTGTAGTTATTTTGTAAAGCATTCATTTTGTTATACATGTTATATGTTTTGCTGCAAAAAGCTTTTCAGAACCGTTGTTGATGGTGCTTTGAGAGAACTATATCATAATTATTCTTTCTCTATTAACATGTGAAGAAATCATGTTGAAAAAGATTATTCCATTCCCCAATTGATAAAAAATATTACAACTTTGGGATATGAACTTGAATGTTTCGACACTTTAATGTTCAAAGGGAGCTGTTCTGACTATGATTGAAGTAGGATTATCCTCACCAAATGGTTTGAAAGTTCACATGGGTATTTTAGTCTTTACAAGTGTTATCAATCCATTGAATGTTATTGTGGCTTTAAATTTGTAGGCTCAAGGTTTGAATTTTACGATGAAAAACAAACTCCAATACAATCAGACAATACAGACTATTAAACAATAGTCAGACAATCAGACAATAGTCAGACAATCAGAAAAAAACAGTCAGATAATAAGACAATACAGTCAGATACTGAGACAATGCAGTCAGACAATACAGTCAGACAATCAGATAATAGTCAGACAATCAGAAAATACAGTCAGATAATCAGACAATACAGTCAGACAACAAAACAATACAGACAATCAGAGTGAATGAGTGAATATGGTTTTACATAGCTTTTAGCAATATTCCAGGAATATCAAGGCTGGGGACACCAGAAATAGTCTTCACACATTATACCCATGTGGGGAATCAAACCCAGGCCTTCAGCATGACCGTCAATCAGACAATACAGTCAATCAAACTATAGTCAATCAGACAATAAAGTCAGACAATACAGTCGGACAGTCAGACAATACAGTCAGTCAATCAGACAATACAGTCAGACTATTCAATCAGACAATACAATCAAACAGTCAGACAATACAGTCAGACTATACAATCAGACAATACAACCAGTCAGACAATACAACCAGACAGTCAGACAATACAGACTATGCAATTAGACAAGTGTCCTGATGTGACCCTGACCAAGATGACCTGGAGTGACCCTTAACCCCAAGACCCCTATGGGCATTCTGTGTCAGATTTGGTCCCAGGAAACTATGCTTGGGGTAAGAGGCGACCGAATGGATCGGATAGTCAGACTCGGTGATTTTGTAGATGGTGCGTCATTGTCAATAGCAACCATTGAATTGTCTTATCCAGGCGTGATTAGTCACAGGCTAATGTCATACGGCTGGAATATTGCTGAGTGCGGCGTTATACAACAAACACACACACACTTAACCAAGAACCACCATGAGATTACAGCTAGAGGTGAATATTGCTCTTTTATACACACTGCAAGAGTTCTCAAGACATTTCCATTAGCAGAGTATGTTAGAGGGAATAATTCCACTTCATGGTCGTAGGTGGCTATAAATCATATATATCAGCTCCAGGTTCAATGACTTGCTGACAAGTGTGGGGTCACGTAGATGTGGCCAGGGGGTTAGTGTATCGCTGACCTCACCCTGGGGGAAGGGGTCACCAGACACATCCCCCAGACTAATACAGTAACAGTGTGTAGTGCTGCCACCTACTGCTCCCTATGGATTCTGCTGGAACAGAAATGGCCAAACCTTGTCGATGAAGTGAGCAAGTCTGGCATCGGGATCAACCACTTAGCACATCCTCAATTACTGTAGTTAATGGTAATATCTTTCAAAATGTAACACTTTCATGTTTGTACATTCTTTAAAAAAATTCTGATTGATAACTTGTTTTTAGGTACGTTTATTGATGAGATGTTTCAAAATGGTAGGGCTGGCATTTGGGTGAATTTGCAAAATTGAATCCTACACATCCCGATAACCGACAGCCATATGGAATTTCAAAGTAGAGAGTCAAGATTTCTGGGAACTACACCTCCTCTGGATCCAAGTCAGTATAGATTTGTTAGGTTAGTGTAGATGGTAAGAGAATACACTGCAGAACATACTGTCAAAGTGGTGGCGAGCCCAACTCACTCACTCACTGTTAATGGTCTTGTCAGTGATTGAATTATCTCCAAGAGGTAGTTCCTGATGAATATTGATCTTCCATAAAGCTTGGAAGGATTCATTTTCTATTCAACCTCTCATCCATTAATTAGATGTATCACAAATAAGAGTAGTATTTAGAGCTCCCTACATGAGATATGAAAATAGAGAACTGTATATAGAGTTAATAAATTCGTAATTTGATTCTGCAGTCAACTGTGTACCCTACTCAACCCTCAAAATCATGTTCATCTATTCATAGCCAGTTGCAGTCTCAGACACTCTGCACTGACTCTGTGGTTTAGTGGATAGAGTGCCTACCAAGAAAACAGATGGTTGTTTGATCCCAGGCCATGTCATACCAAAACACATAAAAGATAGTACTTGTTGATGGCATTTAAAGGGGATAAAACAAGGTTTGGTATCTCGGTGGGCTAGCACTATTAAACTGCCATAAGCTCAAACTCCTACAAAGAGCCCCATATGCATGCATGCACTCGTACGCACGCACGCACGCATGCATGCACCTTACTAACAGCTTCTTTGTAACAGCTTCCTTTGTAACAACATCTTCCATAGCAACAGTTTCCATAGTAAAAGCTTCCTCAGAAACATGATTCCTTAGAAACAGCTTCAATTGTAACAGCTTCCTTAGCAGCAGCTTCCTCAGTAACAGCTTCCTTAGTAACAGCTTCTTCAGTAACAACATCTTCCAAAGTGACAGCTTTCTTAGTATCAGCTTCCTTTGTAACAACATCTTCCATAGTAACAGCTTCCTTAGTAACAATATCTTCCATAGTGACATCTTCCTTAGTAACAACATCTCCCATAGTAACAACTTCCTCAGTAACAGCTTCTTAGTAACAGTTTCTTTAGTAACAACAGCTTCCATAGCAACAGTTTCCATAGTAACAGCTTCCTCAGTAACATCTACCTTAGTTACAGCTTTTTTGTAGCAGCTTCCAAATGTTTCAGCTGCCATTTTATCCTGCCAATCGTTTGCCTGCACCCTACAGATATTGCTGTAAACGAATAATCTTTGCTCTACTTCGTTTTGTTTATAATTTTATTGTATATGTCTTGGAGATGAGTTAGTAATCAAGTCCTCATTACTGTTCATTAAACATTGAATATTGTATGCTGCTTGTGTACCATATTGGCTCCTGCAGTCACATGATAATATCATTTAGTTGGGATTGAGGTGGGTAAGGAAATGTTTTACACTACTAGGGGCATGATCGGTACTCAAGGTGCCAATAATGAGGAAGGGAGATAACTCTAACTGAAACTTGTTATCAAGGACAGATAACTCTTGTTAGCTGTACACATGGCTGAGGTAGGCCAAGACATGGATGAGAAATGTGCCAACAGTGTATGGTTTCACTTTTGATATGGTTTAAAAAGATTCAAGTGCAATTTATTGAGAATACCGTTAAGCTAGACCTGGGCCCACTTGCACAAAGCGATCTTAGCGCTAAGATGATCTTAACTCCCATACTTTAACATAGGCTTACAATAGTCGTAGCGCTAAGATCGCTTTGTGCAAGTGGGCCCTGATCTTTAACCAGTTCAATACATAAGCATGTTTAATAGTATTTAACACAAAACCTGGTCAAGG